AGAGCACTGAACTCCTGATAGTCTCTTTTCCATCGCCGTGAATGCAGTCATCTCTTAGGTACCAACAAGGCCAGAAGAGCAGTATTTTTTTGCTCTCATGTCCGGATGAACTGCATCAAGCAACACATGTAACCAATCCTGGCTTGTGTGTCTGAACTCCCTTTCTGGAGGTAATCCGCACACATCCCTCATCGCATGTCTCAGCGCTCTACTTTTGGAACATGCAATTACCTCATGGAACTCATTCTCCTCTCCATTGCCACAAATCATACAAGTGGCGACCGGGATGATAGTATGTTTGCACTTATTACCTTCTGTTGCCAGGGTATCAGTGGCCACTCTCCATTCAAAAATCCGCACTTTCGGTGGAACGTCCGCTTTCCAGATCATATCCCAAATGTTGCGGTCATCTGCACTCCGACTGGAACTCAAAGGTTCTAGAGCTATGTTACCTTGGATATTGGTGGCCAGTTTGTATGAACTTCTTACCGAGAAATTGTTGTTTCTCTGATGGTGCCATGCAATGCAATCCGTTACTCAATCAAATACCATGCAATGCAAAAGCCTACGACAGGGTGGACTGGAATTTTCTGAAGGAGGTGCTATTAAAAGCGGGGGTTTTCAGAAAAGTGGACAGGATGGATAATGCAATGTGTGAGCTCAGTCCATTACTCAGTCAAATGTAATGGAGAATTGTTGGAACTATTTGCCTCGTCTAGAGGTCTTCGCCAAGGAGACCCTCTCAGTCCTTATCTATTCCTGTTTCTGGCGGATATCCTTGTCAGCGTTTTGAAGAGAGATAGAGGATGGGAATCTGACCCCACTAAAAATTGCCAGAAACAACCCAGGCATTTCAAATCTTTTGTTTGTCGATGATAGCCTGATCTTTTTCAAGCCGATGACTAAACAGGCCAGAACCATCAAGAAAGTGCTAGCAGAATTTCAAAAAGGCACAAGTCAATTACTAAGCGAGAGCAAATGCTCCATCCTTTGCAGTGAGCTATGCCCGGAGGAAACAAGAGAGGAAATCAAGGAAACCTCGGGGGTTGTATCCTCTACTTTTGAGAGTAAGTACTTGGGGCTCCCGACGTCGGAAGGAAGAATGAAGGATGCAAATTTCCAGCCTATTATGGATAGGTTTGGGAAAAGGTGAAATGGCTGGTCTGAGAAGTTCATGTCATAGCAGCCAAGGAAGTACATGTGAAGTCGGTGGTACAGGCCCTACCATGTTTCACAATGGGTGTTTTCCTCCTTTCCAAGGGCTTCTATGAGAAGTACGAGAGAATGATACGAGAATTCTGGCGGGGAGATGAACATGGTCAGCGCAAGGTGCACTGGATGTCATGGGAGCGCATGACAAAACCAAAACGGGCAGGAGGCATAGGCTTTAGAGATATGCATCTATTTAATCTAGCTTTGCTGGCCAAACTGACGTGGAGACTCATCCACAGACCTAACCGTTTGTGTGCTAGGGTGCTTAAGTCAAAATACTACCCTCATGGCAATCTGTTGGACATTGTGTTTGCATCAGATGCCTCTCTGATATGGAGAGGCATTGAAGCTGGCCTCGAGCTTTTGAAAAAGGCATTATTTGGTGCGTTGGGGATGGTAAGAGGATTCAAATCCAGTGTGACCAATGGATCCCGAGGAAGGAGGGCCTAAAGACAGCTTCATTTACCAGGAGATCGAGATTACGGTGGGTGAATCAGCTCATGTTGCCGGATAGGAAAGAGTGGAATGTGGAAATGATTAAGCAATTTTTCACCCCTTCGATGCTGACGACATATGCAAGATTCCTATACCGACAACTGATGCGGAGGACCTCCAGGATTTTTCTGAGCCCGATAAAGTAATTTTCCTGAAAAGTCCAAAAACAGCAGAAAGAACAACTAGCACCGGGCACTGGATTAATAGGTTACTCCATAATAATAATAATATAAAATGATTTAAATTGGTGAAAAATATATGCTAATTTAGTATAAATATGGCATAAAACAATAAAAAATATACATATGTCAGAGACGTATCATCCAGCTACAACTGCACTGAACCCATCAGACCTCCTAGAATGCACTGGTGCTAAATGGATGCTAAGCACATTAAAGAGCTAAGCAACTAAAGTTCCCAATGCAAAAGGTGCTTAACTTGTTGTTGCTAAGCATCCTTCATTTAATGATTTAGCAACTAAAGTTGTTCATGCATTGGTGTGCTTTTTTCATTTAAGTGTTTTCCCTAGGTTCCCGCACTTGGCATTATTTCTTCCTGGGGTCACCACTCCCATCTCTCTCTTCTTAATTACCTTGCCACATCATCTTTTTTGCCTACATGGCAGCCTTAGCACATGTACAAGGTGGAGCATTGGGAGGGGCCTCACACCAGTATCTCCACGTTGCGGGGCATAGACTGCCACCTGCAAGCAGAGCGCTCGTCTCCTCGCCCCGCCACAAAGATGTCACGCTGCGAGATAAGGGGACCTCACCATTGGGGAAGGCCGCCACCACAGGAGGAGCATGGGAGTGAGTCTCGTCATTGGTGCAATAGCGGCTAGCAACGACAGTAATAGGAAGGAATGCCTAGGAGGGAGGGCCGACAATGTAGTGGGTTAGGGAGCCTCCCATGTCGCCATGGCTAGGGGCTGAACTAGGCTAGCACTAGGGGTCGAGCCTGCTGTTCCAGTGCGACATTGATCTACATTAGCTACAATGCAAACTATAGCTTGTGTGAGGGCGTCATACCCCAGTCCATGGCCGGGGGAGGGGGGATGCCTCCCAGCTCCCCCACTAGTCCGGTTGGAGACACCGTTTTTACTAAGATCTTATATTTTCCCAAGTTTGACCAAGTTATAGGAAAATGTTCTTTTGGTAATTTTTATTGTGGCATTTATATCATTCTACAACAAGCCACTTATGTGACTTGTTTGTTTTTAGAGTACCAATTGCGCCACTTGTATTTAATTTGCGATCTTAACCAGAATTTGTGTGTGCATATCCGTAGATACCAACCACTTGTATATGTTTTATATTTTATTAAGGGTTAATGTTTGTGGTCGTGTGACGAGCTAGACTGGCCACTTGCGCTTTCACCACATGGCCACGAGGTCTCACACGGATCCCTCTATCCTCATGACCTTATCCCCACTAGGAAGTGACGCTCGTGCATGAAATCTCTTCCTCCCAATAAAACCAAGGCCATCCTTCCAATCTCTCTCTCTCTCTCTCTTGCCTTCCTTTGTGTTGTCGACGCCCTATTCCCCACCAGCTCTCCTCCTTTCCTCATGCAGTAAGCTCACGCATCGTGGCTCATTCGACGCGACACAGCTAGTCGACTATTGGGATGGGCCCATGGCCTGCGAGCGCACGTAGGTCACCACGGCACGACCATGCTGCCACCCCGAGCTCCATGCCCCAGAAATCTATGTCCCACGACGACCCATGATGCGACCGACAGGATCGCGAGCTACAAAGCTGCGACGCCTGTCTCCGCCGGTGCTACAACTTGAGACACCAAAAGCTCCTTCACCAGACACGGTCAGACGTCGAGGTTTGCTACAACCAGCGACGCCAATCTACAACCATTCATGGCGATGTTGCGATCTGCGATGACGCCGACAATGATTTGTTGTAGATTTTGCTACAACTGGTAACGACGGTTGCTACAACCATTCATGGCGAATGATGCGACCCGTGATGCCGCCACCGACAATTTTGATGCGACCGTCTTTGGCAGTTGTTACTACCGCCGACGACAATTGCTACAACCATTCATGATGATGACCGGAGCCCTCGTTCGCGAAAATCAGGGAAACATTGTGACCGGTGTTCATGGGAAGCTATGACATGTGGCGCAAAATCCTTCAACTAGCTACGGAAAAGCTTCAAACACCGCAAGCTTGAGCTACGAGGAGAACCTACGACCAAGGAGCGCCGACCAATCGCTGGTGTGGTGAGCTGCTCACTGCTGCAAGCAGGGCAGCAAGGCTGCTGTCGCGGGGCAGGTTGCCTGCGGCGCATGGTGGGAAGGGGGCTCGTGCTGATTTAAGAAAAAGGAAGATATGACAGAAAAAAAGAGGGGAAGGGAACAGATGAGCGGTTAAACCGCACATTTAAAAGATCTTGTATCACGCGGTGAGTGAGGCCACCAGCCCAAACCCTGGCCTCTCGCCCGCCGCGTAGCACTTCTCTTTGTTAAAACCGATAGATATATTTTTACACCGAATTTTCATACAAGAGTCACATGGATCATGCTCCAAAAAATCGACATGTGAATAGCATAAAAACATTAACATGACATAATAAAGTGCATTGCAAAGACTGTCATTTATGATATCTTATATACTTGTGTTAGAAATTTCATGGACAACCAATAGACATCGCTTGATCGCCACAATAGGAGAGTAGGACTAGCAGAAGGCTGCACTATCGATCCGAGAAGGATTATCAAGCGTACTACTATAAAAGGGTCCAAAAAGGGTCGAGATAGTGGAGTCACGAAGCATCCGGTTGGGGAGCCTGGCACGTGCCGACCACGTGCCCCGCGAAATCGCCGCACGCACCTCACCGTCGCGGCGTAAACTCGCACAGAAACGCATCTCGATGTCCGCCCACGCCGTCCCCGGCGCCGCGGGAGACGCCGGCGCGGCCCGAGCCGACGATGAGGCGCGCGCCCTCCTCCCCGCCTCGGCGCCCGGGAGCGACCACGGCGACGCCGGCAGCAGCAGCGGCGGCGAGGAGGAGGAGGACCTCGAGGAGCGCGCGTTCGAGGCGTCCGAGAAGGTCCTCGTCTCCATCTCGGACGACCCGGACGCGGACGCCGACCTGGAGGCGCAGCTCGCCTCGTCCTCGGGGTCGCCGCCCTTCTCGTGGCGGAAGCTCTGGCTCTTCACGGGGCCCGGCTTCCTGATGAGCATCGCGTTCTTGGACCCGGGCAACCTCGAGGGGGACCTCCAGGCCGGCGCCGCGGCCGGGGACACGCTGCTGTGGCTGCTCATGTGGGCCACCGCCATGGGCCTCCTCGTGCAGCTCCTCGCCGCGCGCCTCGGGGTCGCCACCGGCCGGCACCTCGCAGAGCTCTGCCGTGACGAGTACCCCGACTGGGCGCGCCGCGCGCTCTGGCTCATGGCCGAGGTCGCCATGGTCGGCGCTGACATCCAGGAGGTCATTGGCAGCGCGATCGCCATCAAGATCCTTAGCAATGGGTATCTGCCGCTCTGGGCCGGCGTTGTCATTACCGCCTTGGACTGGTGAGTTTGGACTCTCTCTCTCTCTCTCTCTCTCTCTCTCTCTCTCTC